GTATCCAATTGGCAATGATCCATATGGTTTGGTTTGGTGACACCGGGTGGATGTTTCTGCACCATCTGCACGTCCTTCCTGCCCGTCTTCGTCTCGTCTTTCCCGGTTGGCTTGGGCCCCTCGGTTTTGGTGGGACTATGCCCCCCAAAAACGGCATCTGCCACAGTGGGCCCGTTTTGGCTCTGTTTGGGATTGTTTGGCCCTTGGAACCCCAGCTGCATCCAGCACTCGAAGCTCCCCGGGCGGGAAAGTCACCTTTAGCAATCTGCAGGGCATCATCTTTGATACAATCCCATCAACTTTTTTTTTCCTTACCACTTCCACCTTACCTTCAATCGAATTGTTTCTCTTGTTGTTTTTGGCCGGACCCCAATTATCGCGCGGAATTGTCTTTCACCAAGTTTCCATCTCTTTCAATACCCCGCCACTGTACAACACTCCATCATGCCGGAATCAAAGCTGGAGCAGGCGGTGCAGCCGCGCCCGCCGCAGTCATCCTTTCGACTAGCCGAGAGGGTGTGTCAGCTCGTCCTGGTCTTCTCCATCAGCTTCGCGGCCATGTTCATGATGATGACCAAGATTTCGCCCGGCAAGTGGCCTTTGACGGAGCCGTCAATAAGCAAGCCAAGGCTCAAGGTGTCGGGCCAGCGCGACTACCTCATTGCCATCTTCTCCGATCTGCACTACGGAGAGCAGGAATTTGGCTGGGGCATTGACCAGGACAAGAATTCCACCAGAGTCATGCAATCTGTCATGAAGAGCGAACAGCCCGACCTCGTCGTATTCAACGGCGATCTCATTACTGGCGAGGATACCCACAAGGAGAACTCGACGCTCTACATTGACCAGATTGTCGCGCCCCTCCTCAAGACGAACCAGCGGTGGGCATCCGTCTACGGGAACCACGACTCCAAGCACACGCTGGACCGCGAGCAGCTGTTCCGTGCCGAAAAAGGCTACGACCTCTGTTACACAACGTCCATGGGCGACAATCTCCCGGGCATCACAAACTACTACGTCCCTGTCTACGAGGGAGACTCCAAGGACCCCATTCTGCTATTGTGGTTCTTTGACAGCCGGGGCGGCACTAGCTACCAGACGGATTCCGATAACATGGACGACATTCCAAACTGGGTTGCCCCCGAGACGGCCGAATGGTTTACCAAAACCTACGACGACCTCAAGGACAAGCACGGCCGTGTCATTCCCAGCGTCGCCTTTGTCCACATCCCCCCTCACATCTTTTTGACGGCCCAGCAGACCAACCTCGACCCCGCCAAGTTCCCTGGGTTGAATGCCGACAGCCCGCTAGCCATCCAAGGCGAGGGCGGAGAGGACGCCCCCTTCGTCGAGGCGCTGCTCGAGGCCGAGGGTCTCCACAGCATCTATGTTGGGCACGACCACGGCGACTCGTGGTGCTCGACCTGGCCCGGCCACGACGCCGGACTCGGCGCCGAGGCCCCATTCCTCTGTTTTGCAAAGCACACGGGCTACGGCGGGTATGGCACCTGGGAACGCGGCGCTCGGATGATTAAGCTCTCCTTCACGCAGGGCGACGACCCAGACATGTCGGTGGAGAGCTGGGTCCGCATGGAAAACGAAGAAATTATAACGCGCGTAACACTCAACGAGACCTACGGCCAGGACACTTATAATGGGGAGTAAATCAACACAGTGGGGATGCACAAGCGACAGAATGCCCGAATGACGGCTTTATCCTGCATACTCTTTATTTGGCACCGGCAGAGCTATGCCATGTCCCGCTCCGTCGCACTGACTGGTCTCAAAAGCAAAACATGCGTGGCAAGCAGCAGTCGTCCCGAAGGATGCTGTGCACGCTGTGCCCCATCGCTTCATTCCTGCACGCATTCCTCTAGGCTCGCAGGGAAATTGCAGCATTCGCCCTGCGGTCAGCTGCCGTCAGCCAGCCCTTGGCGACCGTGCAAACGCCTCGCGGCAAACTAAAAAGGCGCCAAACAGCCAATTAAGCAATCATGGCAATTGCCATAATACGATTGTGTCTTCCTTCGTCCGTTGTTCCTCGTCCTTTCTATTTCCAAAAAGGACAGTCACGATGGATAGGAATCAGACTCGGACAGAAGGACCGCCGCCGAGATACACGGCTTCGAAGCCGGTCGACATGTCTCGGCAACCGCTGCGATACGCTCGCCGCCCGATTTACATACTCGTCACCTACCTGGTGCTTCTCGTCGCACCATGGCTCTGCGTTTGCGTTATTAACCGAAAAACGACTTCCGACCCGTGGGGGATCATTATGCGGCAAGACCTCGACTCATATCACCGTTGGATCGCTGCGGCTTCGTTTTTCAGCACTGTGGCGGCTGTTATTGCTCTGCCGTGCGTTGCCGCGCTGTTAGCCTACGGCGCAGTCGTCTTCTCACAGCGCCGATCCAAGCAGCAGACCCTCACCGTGAGGCAGCTGCTTGCCATTTCCGACTTGAAATGGACAGCGTTTGTCTCCAGCGGGCAATCGTCTTCCTATCTTCTGCTGGCCACCGGACTGCTTCTTCTCAGTACGTTACAGGTCTTTTTGGGGGTGACTACTCCTTCTAACATGGAACAGCTGCCGTCCAGCCACCACTGCAGTCACTGCTGATGCCGCCATCGAGCCGCCCAGTGTACTCATGCGACAGTCTCCGACCATTGAGCAAATGGGACCGCACATGCGACGGCAAGGGACAGCCAGCCCAGACAATTGGCAAGGATGCCGAGCCCGTCTTGCTCCGAGAGGCCAACGCATCTCAAATCGTCAACACAGTCAGAACGAAGATGGTCAACATCACGTCAGCCGACATCCAAGAAAACCTGTGGCGAGTCGACGACAACCACCGGAGCTTCGTCACGGGAGAGGACCAGACGTACAACGACTCTTTCTGGGTATCAGCAATCCCCGCCGGCGTCACGACGGGACCTCTCCGGCAGCACTCGATTCGGCTCAGCTCAACCGCAGCCTGCCAGGTTGCAGATGAGTACCCCGCCAACTGCGACGGGTATGCAACGTCCCTCCAAGGCTTCGGCATCAGCGTGAGAACGTGCATGCCTCGCAACAACACCAGCCCTGCGTCCCGTGGGGTCCCCCCGAGGCGACGACAAGACGTCGATGAAGTGCTCTACATTGACGCGCAGATTAGTCCAGAGGCGGCAAAGACTCAGGACTTCTTATCGGAACCGGCACAGAACGTCACCATCAAGTGTGTCGCCAAAACCAGCCGTGCCTTTTTCGAGATTGGCAACCTTCAAACGGGACTTGTTCCGTCCGACATCATCAGCGAGTGGCCCTCGGACGAAGACATGGCAGCGCATTTCCACGACTACGATTGGCAGGGTAACCTCATCACCAACGAGTCTGAAGCCGACTGGAACCGCGACCGATTTTCCGGCTGGACCTCTACACAAGGCCCGTTGCGGTCAACAGCCGAGGCGCTCTTTGGCAATGGCTCATACCCACAGGCTGTACTCGATCTCTTGAGTCAGACCTTCCCGGATGGCCAAGTGCCCGACGACACCACATCCAACAGCGATGCAAAACGCAGAGCGTGCTCTTTGCCGACGCCCCTCGGCGCGTGGCAGCTGCCGTACAACTCTCACAACGACGACTACGACTCGTGGTACTCGTCCATATACCAGGGATGTTCGCTTGCCGAGCTGCCCAAGACACTGTTCCGGATCGCACAAGGCCTTCAGTACGTCAAGGTGGCGCAGAGCACGCTCGGCGTCGGCATGTACTTGTCCAACGTGGCGGTCCTACAAGACGCGGCATCCAACGACGCAGCGAGGACCATTTACAACTTGGCCGGCACCGAATTTGTCGCACCGCGGTACACCGTGGGCGCCACCGTCGCCATTAGCCTGCTCATCAGCATGCAAGCCATTGCACTCATCATTCTCGTCTGCTACATTTACAGCCTGCCCACCTGGACCGACACCTTGGACGCCTTTGCCATGATGAGGCTGGGAGCACACTTGAGAGACTCGGTGGAATTTCCACTAGTAGGCCGGGCCAGTCGGGAGGAGATGGGGGCGTTGGATGAGACGGATGGACTGCTCGGCGTCGTCGTACGGGGCGCTGCGGGTAGGTCAGAGGAGGATCTCGAGCTCGCCGCCCTAGCTTCATCCAGCACCGCACAGAGAAACGAGACATCTGCGCATCAGTATGCGAGTGTGAGCCCGCTATCACCGACGAGCACGGTCGATCAAGACCCATCGGCCCCGGCCACTCAAACGAGCCATGTGGTGGACGCCACTAGGCCTGGGATGGACACTAGCGAGCTGAGCGAGTACCTCCAAGGGGCCCCGCCGGCGTCCCCCACGATAACAACCACCACCACTACGACGGTGTCTTCCCCCCGAAGCCCGTCGCCGCCCCCGCCATACCTGCCGGCGAGATCGTCCAACAGAGGCCAGCCGGTGAGGGGGCCGTTTGAGCTGGGGCTGGGAGCCCCTGGGCTCATTACAAGAGCGTTATGGGAACGGTACAGGCCGAGGTAGAAATGCATAGGGAGCACACGGGAAGGAAAAGTGTGTAAACGGAGTTTTGTTTTGTCACATCTATTTTGATACCCACAGAGAAGAAACATTTTCATCAATACTATATCACCAAGTCTCCGGAATGGAGCGTCACTCTACACTGCTTGTTCGAGACCGCCTGAAGAAAGGGAAACAACGCCAGCGCCACCACGGACGCCGGGCTAAGAAAAGAAGTCTAACGTGTAAGTCGAGCGATCGCCGGCGCGGTTCTGGACCCCGCGAATGTGGATACCCCGCTCTAGCTCCGTCTAGCCCGCCCTGCCACCGATACAGAAATGCTGAGAGTTTCAGGCGGGAGGATTTTTAGCAACCTCCAAAGGTCGTGCGTTTTGCTGTTTGTTTGGTGGTGGGAAGAGGTACCGCTAACCTGGGAGCTAGCCCAGCTATCCTGCGCTTTAACCGTATCGGGAGAGCTCCCTGCGTCTCAGCTGGCCCGTTTTGGCAACTTTTGGGTGGGTTGCTCCGGCACGCCACATTGGACTGGCAGACACTTTTAGACGCAGGCGGCGCGTGAAGAGGGAGGGGAGGGGGAGGGGGAATAGAGTCTGCGACGGCCTCGTTGGTAGTCGGAGGATTGCGTTCTTGGTAGTGGAACGATTTGTTGGACTATTTACGAAGCTTCTTTGCTAGTAGAGAAGGGGGTTGTAGACGGTAATTCTTTCTCACGTCCCTTGCTGTGGTGGTTGGTATGCGGTTTTCGATAGATGGTTGGGTCCGCATTCCGTGATACATTCTTCAATGTTCTCGCCACCTTGTAAATGCCTTTGTTTTCTCTTGCTTATCTTTTCTGGTGGCGCCTTTCTTTTCGTCGATCAGGGCTGGCGATTCCCACGCGAGGAATGTTTGTGACGAAAGTCTGTCCCTGACTCAGTTGCCATAATCTCGAATCAAACAACGGGACTCACCCCCGAGATCCGGATCACATCACCGCAGGCTGCATACCCCTCCTGCGCAACTCTTGTTCAAGCATTTTTGGCATGGCGATGAGTCTGTCACACGCCCACCACGTGGGTTCCCCGTCGTCCTCCCCGAGAAGCAATCGCGAGGTCTCGTAAAAGTGATACAACACAAGCAGCGCCCGCGGGTCGTTTGCGACAATCATGTCGAGGAACGGGCCGAAGCAAAACAGCGGGAAGGCGAGGACGTATCGCTCGAGGTCCGGCGTCGCCGGGGGCCGCGGATTCGTGCTGCGGTGTTGCCAGAGGGCCACGATGACGGACAGCCGCTCCACGATGCCGGTGAAGGCGGCGCGCTGACGGTCCGCGCTGCTGCGGTGCTCCGGGGTGGTTGTCATCTCATCATATCGATCTAGAAAGGCTCGCTGGATCCGGCCGCGATCCATGCCCTGTTCCGCTGCGATCTTGTCGAGGGCGTCGCACGGGGCGTCCTGCCATGCCTTGGCGAAGATGCTGTCTGGTCCCTGCGCCCGCGTGCCGGAGAGGAAGACCCGCACGCCGGAGCTGAGAAGAAAGAGCTGGTCCCGGGCGAGGTCGAGAGCGTTGTCGTCGGCGTCGTCGGGGCCGTCGACGGACTCGAGATTACACCACGTGAGGTAGTGTATGAGCTGCGCCGTGAAGAAGAGAGAGTCGTACCCTCCACCGGCCCCGTCGTCCCGGCTGAGCTCGGCGCCGAAGAGGGCGCAGCTGCGGGACAAGAGGGCCAGGCTCGCTTCCCCGTAGACGGCGTCTTCTGGTCTGAGGGTGCTGAGGTGCCGCGCCGAGACGGCGAGGATGGCCGTCATGAGGTACTCTGCCCGGAAGGCCAGCGGGAGGACGGACGCCCAGACGTCGGCGAAGCAGAGGGTGGGGATCGTCGCGTGCTGGAAGTGGTGAAGGAGTTGCATGTGGAGGAGGTTCACGGGCCCCGAGGCGTCTACCGGCCGTGCCGGTCCCGTGCCGACGGCAGCGGGCGATGAGGACGCCGTCGTCTCTGGGGCGGAGGACTGAGGGCGTGTGCATGGTTCGTTGCGGCGGGTGCAGTTCGTGCAGGGGGTCGATTCGTCGCACTGGATCCCGTGTAAGTCTTGTGAGTCTGGGCGACATCGACTGAGAGACATGGTGACCAATTACCTTTACCTTCCTTTTTTTGCATGGTATGCAGCCGCCTCTACTCTTCCTGTGAGCCTTCTTCTTCTTCGGCTCTTGGTGAGTGGGGTCGATGAATCGGAGAGATAGAGGCGTGGCGTCTGGGGAGGTGGAGGGGTTGGATGCTGGCATCATCAAGGTCATCCCACGTAGTTTAGAGGGGGCTTGGAGGGGTGGAATGAGGTGAGATTTTTGAGCACCGATGAGCCAGGAAATTCATCTAGAATGAGATGATTGCCCATTCGGCTCGAGAAGCTGTTGACAGGATGAAGTTGAGTGAGTCTGCTCCATGGCGGAGAGTCCACGAGTGAGATGAAATCAGACAGTGAGCTGAACCTCGCATTCCGAAAAGGGAATGCGATGGAAGCGGGTCTAAGGGCGGAAATGGTTTAGCTCGCTATAGTAAAGTAGGGGCCCTTGACACATGACGTCACTGCTAGACAACGTGTAAGATGACCATGACCACCTCTTTACTGAAATGAAGCTATCGCGAGATTTGTTGTACCGGTTGGACACGATGTCAGTGTTTTCGTTGTAGTCGGTCCATTCACAATATGGACTCTTTCCACCAAAGAGGTCCTCGCCTGAACCCAAAAGCATGTACCTCCGAAGCTTCCAAGACACAATGGTCCTCAATGAGATCAAAGGTGATGGGTCTTTGCCTAAATTAAGATTTTCAGTCGTCCTGGGTCACATTGAACGGACTGATACTCATAGGAGATACATGAGCTCGACTTTATGACTTTAGACACCTCGCCAATTCCTAGGATGCTTACCCCTAGTGTCCTTCACAGTTCTTCTCGTCTGTATTCATCGAGTATAATCCACAAGCCGCCGGATATAGCTCGTAGTTGAATTTATCAATCGAAATGGAGTCGCCTACACTTACACCCAATCCTCCAGAACAGAATCATGTCACCATCTCAACAGGGAACAACGATGCCTACCCTTCCACAAGTCGACACAACACCACCCCTCCCAGTCTCACATTCAAAGGCGACCTCATCATCCTACCGCACGCCTTTGCACGCATCAGCCCTACCTGCGCATCAATCGCGGACCCAACCCAACACACCCTCCACCTCTTCGCCGACGCCTCGTTCCCCGGGCACAACCGGCACAATGTCCCCTCGAAGCCATCCGCACCAGCAGGCGCCGCCGTCTTCTGGAAGCCGTGGCCGTGTACAGACCCCGCGGACCCGTGGCACGCCCGCGCATTCCAGGTCCTCGCGTGCCGGACCTCCACCCAGGCAGAGCTCTACGCCGTCGTCGCGGCCCTCGAGACGGCGACGCTGCTGGCCCACCTGATGCCGGACCTGCGACGGGTGACGGTCTTCTCCGACTGCCAAGACGTCATGAACACGCTCGCCGCGGCGGAGGGCTCGTACCCCGGCGCCCTGGACCCCCTCGTCCAACGCGCCTTTGAGGCGTGCGGCTCTCTGCGGGATAAGAGGGACATTAGGGTCGCTGTGTGCTGGTGTCCCGGCCACGTCGGTATCCTTGGTAACGAAAAGGCCGACGAGCTGTCGAAGGAAATCCGACGGTACAACTTTAGGCATTTGGTCCCGACAGAGCAGCCCACGCGCGTGAGCGGGTACGAGATTCCGTTCAAGTATCTCGAGAGGGCGCGCCGGGGGCACTGGTGGAGGGATGAGGCTGATTTCGAGTGGACGGCGAATATGCCTCGTAAGCGGTTTTATCCGGTGGCTGCTGGTAGGGAGTGCGACGAAGAGGCATGGGATGCGGAATACGACGACGAGGCATGTGGTGAAGCTTATGGAGATGCGGACTACGATGATGAAACTTACGACGATGAAAACTACGATTATGAAGACTACGATTATGAGGCCGATAATGGAACTTACGCCGACGAAGACTACAATTATGACGCCGACGACGAATTCTCCGACAGCAAGTCCTCCGACTTCGATGTCTACGACGATGAGGTATCTTCTCGCACGCTCTCGCTACGCAGCTACTCGTCAGCCACGCAAATCCAGACAAGAAAGCGCAAGCGCTCGGCGCCAGACCTACCAGAGTATCCCTGCAAGAGACAAAGGACAGGCCGACTCGAGCACGGCATCAAGCAGTCAAGGACACTGGAATGGACTCCAAGTCCAGTCTGAACTCGCTCCCGCTGTACTCTCAGAAGGTGGCGGGAGTACCAAGAAGCACACTGTCATTGGTCTCACCTTGTGGAAATCTCCACAGCTTCTGATACCTCTGCAACTTAGAAACCCCCAGCTAGTCGCTCCGTTGGCTGACGTACCGGTATGTGTTGACATGTAAGCCTCGAGGCAACTGGTACGTGGCAGACAGACTCACTCGGTAGACAAGTAAAGAGCAGCACCAGGATACATGTTACGTCCCATGCCGGCCGAGATCTTTGGTGAGGAGCTTCGCCAACCTGGAGCCAGGTTCGGGCGAGAATCGCAGCACCAGACTTATAGATCAAAATACATCAATAGGGCTCGCAAGCTCACTCGGTAAAAACATCACAAAACTATCGTCATCAAAATAATTCTTTTGGAGAGTCTATAATCCTGGCCCCATGTAGTGAATATGCAGAGACCACACGCGCCGTCCGCCCAGATACAGCCAGCCCGCCCAATGCTAAATGGAAATCCTTCACCAAAGTCGGGCCATGCTGTGTGTGACACGACACCCTTTTCAGTTGCTCACAAAATACAACACCGCTTTTTCTTTGTTTCAGCCAGGCCCGTTTTCGGCTCGTAAAAACTCCAACCATGTCTAACTATGTGGGGGAAATCGGCTCACACAACCCGCGCGCCAGCAGTGTCCCTTGTATCATCGTGTCTATAATTACAGTTAAGAAAAAGAAGACGGAGACTGCCTACAGTGGCAGCCCGCAGTCGATCGTTGGCAGGGTGACTCTGCCTATTTGCGCCGCCTCGTCTTGGGCGCGGGCGCGGGTTCGGGCGACGGCTCCACGGCCTGTCGCTTCTTGGCGGTCTGCTTCTTTGGTCTCGGAGGCGGCGGAGGCTCCGAGTGGAGATGGCCGAGCTCCTCCATGGCCGTGGAATTCTCCCACGCGAGGCAGCGGTAGTTTGTGGGTTCGGGCGTCGGCTCGTGCTGGCGGCCTCTGGTGCTCATGCGCTTGGAATCGCGCCTCTTGCCCTTCTTCTCCTTCTCTTCCTTCTCCTCCTCCTGCTGTTGCTGCTCCTCGGACTCCGCGGAGGTGAGGTACGTCTTGCGGTTCTCCATGTGCTGCACAATCTTGTCCCGGAACGCCACGATTTCTTTCCGAAGTCGCAACTCGTTGAAGCCCCGCGGATCCAGCCACTTGAGGAGCTCGTCGACCTGCTCCGGCTCGCTATAGTAGCCCCACTGATGGGCGTTGAAGACGCTGGTGGGACCCTCTTCCAGCTTCTTCCGCTCCGGCACCGTCATGGAAAACTTGGTCTGGTACTCCGCCTGGTACTCGGGATCGGTGTCAATGTACCCCTGGCGCTCCAGCTCGTCGGGGCCTTGCACCCATATGCAACCGTTGGCGTACTCGGCGGCAGCGGTTGAGCTGTCCGGGAGCCCCCCGTACGGCATGCCGTTGCGTTCGAACCAGTAGTACCGGTTCCAGAATCGGTCCTTACCCAAGACACGGGTCCGGCCACAGTCGGCTTCGCGGAGGTCGTTGTCGATCACAGCGATCTCGTCTTCGCACTTTTTGATAAAATCCTCCTTCTTCTGGATATCCTTGAGGACCTTGATGAACTGCTTCGACTGCTTGGGTGCCTTTGCGGCTTCGGCGGCCTTTTCTTTCCGCTCGAGCTCCTCCTTACGCTTGCGTTGCCTCTCCGCGGCGCGGTCGTTGGCGCGGCGGAAGTTCCTGCGGGGTGCTCCCTCCTCGTCAGAGTCGGCCACTTCGTCCTCGGCGTCGGCGGCGTCGGCTGCCGACTCGTCTGCGTCCGTCATCTTGACGTCCTCGTCTGCCTTTGGCTCGGGAGGTGGCGACGGCGGCATGTTGTCGGGGAGCATGATCTTGCGCTGGTCGTTGAGAGCACGCAGTTCCTCGATGCTGTGAGGGTGTCAGTAATGCATTCACCAAAACGTCTAGTGTCACCTACGCCTGCTTCCTCTGCCGCTGCCAGTCAATCTTTTCCTTGCGGAACGCCGTCATTTGCTCGCTGCATTCCTCCATGTAGGTACGCATCGCCTTGGTCTGCGTTGTGAGCATGCAGATGATCTGCAACGCCTGCACACGGTAGTTGACGTCGAGTCGAGCATAGTGCTCCTGCACCGTCTCTTGGGTGGGATCCTCGTCGGGGGGACACAGCTGGGCGAGCAAATTCTCGCACTGCTCCTCCATCCTCTCATTCTTGGAGAGCTGGTGCAGCAGACCGACGACGATTCTCTCCCAGCCGCCGTTCTGAAAATTGCGTTTCCTGAGCTCCTCAATCCAGTCGTACTCTTCAAGGAGGTCCTCGGCGCGGTGCTTGATCTCAGGCTCCACATTCTGGCTTTCCTTTTCCGCTGCCCGCGCCTCGGCCAGCAGCCTCTCGGCCTCGGCTTTGGCGAGACTGCTTCGTGTGGCTCTTGCAGGCGGCCGGTCGGTTTCCGGGGTCGGCTCCTTGGTCTCCTCCTCATCATCAGAGTCCTCAGAGTCCTCCTCTTCGTCCTCTAGCTCGGGCAGCTGGACATTCACCTTGCCGCCGTCTGCCTCGGCACTCACAATTTGCTTGAGCACCGCACAGTGGATTTCCTCAAACAGCTGGACCTTGGTCTCCTCTGATGCTACAGACATGGCCTCCACAAAGTCGTCAAACGTAAACGAGTCGAGCTTGAAAATTTCGCAGTACACATTCAGCGTATCCCACGTCTCCAAAAACAAGCCAATCGACTTCATCGACAGCTTGTCGCGTATGCTGGCGCTGCCATTCACGGCCACGTCGGAAGCAGTCGGGGGGTCGTTGCAGAGGAATGCCAGGGCGGGTCTGACGACGCCCTCTCTCAGGGGCACCTGGAGATCCTCAATGGGGTACTTTGGCGGTGGGGGCGGCGGCGGTGGCTCGGGCGCAGTCATGGAGTGCGGTAGCGGTTGATTCCGGAAGTTGAGCGGCAGCTGGAAGGGGTTCTTGTGCGGCGGGGCGTGGAAGATGCCGGCCTCGGACGCCATGTTTGGCGAGCCGTTCTGGCCTTGGGGGAACTCTGGCGATTGATGCTTGCCCTTTTGGCTCTTGAATGCGGGCTTCAGCTCGGGCAGCCGCGCAGGGCCGTTCTGGATGGCGCCATTGACACCGTTGGTGCCGTTACCGTCCTGCGTCGGCGTCTGGCTGGCGCGCTTCTGGGCCTGCAGCTGCTTCCTCTCCATCAACTTGGTATCGTAGCGTAGGTGAGGCGGGACCCGGGAATCAATGTGGTACTGTGCCGCCACATCGTGCTTCACGAGCCACGGCGCTCCGTTCCATGCCTCGCGCGTTACCGTCTTCTTGATAAAGGAGCGCAGAACCGACTTTGTGAATATTTTGCGATCGCGGAAAATGTGGTCGTCGTCGACCACGGCCTCGATACCGGGGCGTTCCTCCAAGCTGACCGTATAGCGTGTGTAAGGGGCGGTCTGGGTGCCGTCTGGCAAAATCTTGCCGCCGAACCGGGTCTTTTCTCGCACGACGCCCTGCAATCTCTCGCTCTCGGCCGTGCTGACGGTCACGGCCTCGCCCGGGTAGTAGTCGGCTCTGAACTCGTCAAACACCAAGTCGACAAGCGCATCGATTCGGGACACCGTTTGGAATTGGACGCGACGCAGGACGGGGCCCTTGAGAGCTTCGGGAAAGGCTTGCTCCACCTCCTCGGCACCGGCGAGCTATTGTCATGTCAGCAGGTTTGCGCGGCAGTGGAAGATGGCGGGACGCACTTCGCTCTTGAGTGCTTCGAAAAAAGTCAGGCCGGAGTGCCCTGTGATCTGGCAGATGAAGCGCCGCTACGCGCTGGGGTTAGTCTTGGCCCGAAGCCCCACCTGGCCTGGGACGTACCTGTTTGTAGAAATCCATTCTTCACCGCATTAGCTGAAGCCGAAAAGGAAACAAAAAATGACGACAGAAAAAAAGCTCACCTGGTAAGATAATCCTCATATTGGGCAAAGACCTCGCCGGTCTGTGGGATATGCCAGACCTGGGGGCCTGCATCAGTATTCGTCGCATTATTTGTGAATGTCACTCTGCGAACCTCTGAATTATCATCCTTGACGTCCTTGGGAGCCAAGAACTGCACCGGTTTACGCTTGAAGAGAACCTGTACCTCCAGTCAGCGATCTGCGACCCCGGAGAGCGCGTCGGGAGGCCGTACCATGTTGGCGGTTGGCTACAATGGCATGGCCCAAGATTCGAGGTTCCGATTGCGCGGTGGGGCTGAAATCCAGCCAACCTTGTCTTCAACCGTACAAGTGGTCTTATAGAACCTCGAGGACCATTTGCTGGGCAAAAGAAACGCGTTGTGGCGGTCTGGCGGGTGTGTTGTGGTCGCGGCCGGAGCGAGCGGAGGCGCGGTCGTGGGTGTCGGGCAGGGGGAGGACGGGTCGGCGGGTGCACTTACACGCGAGACTCGCGGGGGACGCGGTGCGGCTCGCAGATGACGTGTCGGAGATGGCTGTATAAATGACGATATCGATGGTTCGTGGTTGTGGTCGCGGGTTGGTGAGAAAACGCGCAGCCTGCGAGTCGTGGGTGAAACGACGGGGGAAAAAAACAAAAGGTGGGAAAGGAAGTGGTGAGCTTTGGGGGGGAAGGAGGAAAGGAAAGGGAAAAAGAGAAGAAGGGCGCCAGTGAAAAGCGGTCCTGGCCCGCTTGGCCCGTTCGGCCCACGGTGCCTCCGCATCCCATCTCCCAGGCGCCTGCGCACCAGGCCTCCTTACCCTCCTCCACCCGCCACGACTCCGTCCGCCTCGGGAATCCCACAACCGCGTCGGCCACCCGCGAATTTGTACTCGTTGGGCTCGCCATGGCTGGGGCTTTCGATTGAGCACTCAACTAGCCACGAACACCACGATTTGATCGATTAATGCCGTGATATGTCTTGCACGTCTTCCGGTCCCGGCGGGTAGCCTAATTTTCGTCAATTACCTCCTCGGGGCCAGCTCCGGATGAGCACCGTTCTACCACCACATGACATATAAACGTGATTCAACGTTTCCATACAAACTGCTACATTATTATGGACTCGTCTACTTAATTATAGGTGTGACCGACACGCAGCGCGACCTCTCGGTCATGATATCAACGCCGGGACGGTCCGCCGTGGCCGCTCCGGGCCTCCGGGCTCCGTGTAAGTGATTTTGGCGCAATTGCCTCGTACCGCAGTCAATCACTCAAATTCCGATAGTGCATCGCCCAAACTGTGCACGACAAGTGTCTGTTTTGTTCTTTGGCTTGTTCGTGGTATACAATGGGTTGTGTCCAAATGGCCCACGACCCCCGGTCCCCCTGCTCAGCCGTTAGCTCCAAAATGGTAGTTTCCCTCCTGGCAAGGTACTTGTGGTGGAGCTGGTGCTGCTGTCAGCCTCCAGGCACGTGAGACGCGGGTTTTCATTGGCTCCCGCCAGCTAGGCCCCCACGGGACCAAGCGTCTCTTTTAGACCTCCGGCAACTCAGTGGCACTGGCACGTAAAAGTTTCACCGTATTTTGTCTCGACTGTAATTCTGTGTCTTCCTAGCAGGTAGCAATACACACATTCTATGACGTGAAATAGACAACCATGAATCCGATCCAGCTACCGACCACGCCTACAGCGCAGTACGAGCTGGTAAACATGAGTGGCAGGAACTCGTACCGCTTTCCAAACACAACCTGATGGAGCAGCGAGCAGTAAAGAATCAGCGGGATGCTGACGGCAATGTACAACGTGCTGAACCGGTCCAGCAAGAAAAACCTCGCCTTGCGCGAAGCCGGGGCCAAGCGGTCAAATACCATGAGGAACAAAACCAGCCAGAAAATGGTGTACACCGTCTTAATTGGAAACTCGGCCGAGGTGAAGAGCAGGGGAAAGAGGGATACGTGGCCGGCAACCGCCAGCGGCCGGAACGCGCCAAGGTAACGACGGTCCTTGAGAGCGATGAGGCTGAAGGGAATGATGACCAAGAGAATGGCCTTTTCATGCACATGCCATCCAAAAAGGAACGAGGCATAGCCGCAGAGCGTTACCGCCCCGATGAAGGCATCCCATGTGGGAGGCGCTTGGAAGAAGAGCTTGATCAATGGCAGCACCTGAAAGAAGAGCGTCAGAGCGAAGCAGGTCCGCGGGGTGATCTCTGGCAAGACGGCGAAGGCCGTGTCTCCGACGAGTCCTCTGGTGACGCTGTTGATTGCTTCGGCCTTGACTGGCAGGTTGAGGCGGGGTGCGGCTGCAGCGTGTCAGTCTATTGCGTTGATAGCTTTGGGGTGGTCAAACATACCATAGATGAGAACGCGATCGGCAAACGAGTAGAGCGCCCAGATGTTGGGAGCCCAGTAGGCGTGGCAGAGGCCGCGCGAGAAGGGAAACAGTCGGCTCATCATCTGGGGGATTTGTTCCAGTGCGGCAAACGGGCCAAAGGCAGCAGCAAAGATGGCCGCAATGCCGCCGCCCAGCTTGACGCAGTTGAAGAATTGAATCTTAAAGATGGACTTGGGCGAGAGGCAGTATGCGCGCAGCAAGAAGACAAAGTAGGCTGGCGCCAGGTACAGGTAGATGTGCTTCATGCACAACAACGCGGCAAAGACCAATCCGCTGCCCAGCAAGCCCGACTTGGACCGGGCCAGCACGAGTGACAGGATGAGCACTCCGTACATGGCACCGTTGTACTGGAAGTGAATGTGGTCAATGATGAGGAGGCCGGGCGACAACAGGATGGAGATGGCGGCAGCTTGGGCAGCCCGTCTCGTGGGACCGGTGGCAGAGTCGATGAACCTGGACCTTAGCTTACAGTCGATGCGGTGGATACACAAGCAAACTTACCGCTGCAGCGCGTAAACGAGCACCAGCTCAGAAATGATGACGGTCCATCGCTGGAAGTAGACCGTCTGCCAGCTATCGTATTCCAGGTTGTAGAGCTTGAGCATGGCCGGGTCGACGAGCTTGGCGACCTGGGACATGGCCCACTCAAAGTAGGCGAAGAAGGGAGGGTAGTCGAGGGTCCATTCTGACGTCTTCTCGTAGTACCATTCTGATATCGGGAGGCTGTTGGTGATGGCGAGCCAGTTGCGGTGGACTTCGAAATCGGTGGATTTGCTGCGCGACGTGTCAGCTGGAGTCTTTCGAGCTGGAGGGGAAGCAGCCACATACTAGGCCGGGAAGAGGAGGACTTTGAGTGCGCCGGCGACGAGGGCACACTGCGTGAGGGTTGGATACGATTCGGCCATTGTGGCGCGTTCGAGAACCGGTCAGTAGGGAATCCGCATTGATCTGGGCGGTGCCGTGAGAGCTTCACTGGAGTGGTCAGTGGTCGGGAGGTGGGAGGAAATTCACAGGCCACCTTGGTCGGTGTCGTCAGGGGTCCTGCTCAATGGGAGGGAGCTGCAGCTTGGTATTTTTTTTTTGGAGAAGGGGCCATGGGCAGGGGTGGACGTTGGGCCCGTGCGACATCGCGGTGAAACCACAGTTGCCGTCTTTTGGAGACGCGACGGGACTCTTTAACGATACGTACTGCCTTACCCCATACAAGCCACATATTCGAAGCCACAATGACAATGGCAAAGAAGCTCCCCGCCACGTCTGCAAGGAACCGAGCAGAAAGTGTCTTTCTTTTCCAGAATCCCTTTCGCATTCCAGCTCGGGCCATGCAACTCCAGGTTGGTGGACCAGGGTCCCTTTATTTTCGCCAATGTCTCCAGCAAAGCTCTTGGGCACGCTCTGAGACAGCGAAACAGAATCCAAGCTCGTCGTTTGGAGTCTATCATCACGAGACTCCGCGACCTGAGAGACATTGAGATGATGCATAGGGATACCATCGGCCTGCCGCTAAAGCTGGTTTGATTGCAGTGCAATTGACTTTGCTCAAGAATCCAACGTCCATAACGCTAAAACGCCCCGTCCAAAAAGGGCAGTCCAGGAGCTTATCCGCATAGCTGGCTGCTGCTGCTGCTGTCTTGAACGCTTTTTAGTGCCAACCTGTCCTCAACCCACAGACACGCACCATCAACCCCTGCTTGGGAGTTTCTCGACTTGGCGGGTTTCCAACCACATTGTTCCCACGCTTTTCTGGATCCCATCGTCGTCTGCACTTTTTTATTTTTCCTTCCATTCTGCCCGCATTGCAGGACCTTGCATTCCTGTATTTTAATATACAATTGATCGTCCTCGTGGGCATACGGCCGGCTTCGTTGTTGCACTTGATACCCCCATCTCCCCACACATACAAGGTAGCTCCCGCGCTGCCTCGAACCACCCACGATGCGTGTGTCGCAAGCTCCCCTGAGCTCGACGCTCGCCCTCTTGCTCGGTGCAAGCTTCACACAAGCTCAATACCTCATCAACGAGCTCAGCTTCGGCTACTCTGGCAGGTAGGACTTCCAGTCAACCCCCTTGGCGCCACTGTCAGCTAACTTCAACAGCATATCACCAAACAATGACGGCCACGTCCCCAACTTTGTCCTCCAGGGACAACCGAACCAGCCCGAGATCCTCTCCAACAAGATCATCCTGACGCCCGTGGCGCCCGGCAACCAGCGCGGCTCCATCTGGAGCACCCAGAAGGTGATGCACCAGAACTTCATCGCCGACATTGACTTCCGAGCCAACGGCCCCGAGCGCGCTGGCGGCAACCTCAACATCTGGCTCACCAACGGCGGCTCTGCCGACGTCGGCATGAGCTCCGCATACACGGCCGGCCGCTTCGACGGTCTCGTCCTCGTCGTCGACGGCTACGGCGGCACCGGCGGTATGGTGCGCGGCTTCCTCAACGACCGGTCCACCGACTACAAGGCCCAGAGCGACATTAGCCCCCTTGCCTTTGGCCACTGCCAGTACCACTACCGCAACCTCGGCCGTCCCAGCCAGATCAAGCTGCGCCAGACCGACCGCGCCTTCAAGGTCGAGATTGACGGCCGCCTGTGCTTTAAGAGCGACAAGGTCAAGATCCCCACGGGCTACACCTTTGGTCTGACGGCAGCGAGCGCCGACAACCCAGACTCGTTTGAGATTTTCAAGATGGTCGTCATGTCCGATAGCCTCCACGCCGGAGAGCAGCAGCAGCAGCAGAACCAGGGGCAGCAGCAGCAGCAGCAACAGCAACAGCAACAGCAGCAGCAGGCACACGAGCAAAAAGCCAACCACGGCCAGCCCAGCAACCCGCGCAGCGGCAACGACGAACCCGTCGACCTCAACGCCATCCCCGACTCCAACGCCGACACAATCACCTCGTCCAAGGCGCAGTTCGCCGACCTGCACAACCGCCTGCAGTCCGTCAACCACATCCTCGGCACGATCTTCAGCGCCGTCAACAAGTTCGGGCAGCAGGCCGAGAACCGCCACGCCGAGACGTCGCAGCTGCTCGACTCGCTCCGCACCGAGCTGCGCAAGCTCGAAAAGATCAACGACCTCGAGGGCCGCATCAACGGCCTCGAGCGCGAGATCCGCGCCATGCGCACCGACCTGAACCTCCAGATGAAGAGCACGGAGCACTCCCTCAAGGGCTACATGGAGGGCCACCACGCCACCCTCTCGTCCAACATTGTCAAGGCCGCCCCCGGCCACGGCAAGCTGATTGCCGTCATTGTCGGGTCCCAGGTCGTCCTCGCCGTCGGGTACCTGCTGTACAAGAGGAGAAAGAACTCGATGCCCAAGAAGTACCTGTAAATGAAGGGGTGAGAGGGGTGACGGGAGGTCGCAGACGGCGCGGAGATGTCGTTTGGTACGTAGTCGTGCGCTTGCTGCGGCTGTGGCGGTCTCGCAGCATTATGACGATGGCCGGTGGCAGTCAGATGATTCGCTTTACCCTCACTTGTATAAGAAGTGATGACATGAACGACGGGATATATGCAGTGGCCGTGGCCTGCGGCGCTAGACGAGGTGGTGATGGGATGAAGTAAAGATACATAAATATCGAAGCGAAAATGTTTAAAGTTCAACATATGGTCTCGGTCGTTGGAGTGAATCCGTGTCTGCTGATCACCGGGGTGAGAGTGACAAGCCAGTATTGGCAGGACCAGCCAACGACCATGATGGACGTCCACAAAGCTTCCAAGCCCAGGTTCGTGACATGCTACATTCCCCAAGGGGAGGGTTATCTCTGGTAGTGGTCCCGCCCTCGCAATGTTGGCGTCGCAAATTGTGTGCTGCTCCACGGCTCTTGAGCCCTGTTGACCTGACCAATGATTGCGTTCACTATTTTCCCTGTTCATCATCCCCTCGCGTGTCTGAGGAGCTTGAATAAGCTGAAAGGAGAATATGCTGCCCCGTATTTCACTCCAGACAAAGAGAATGAAGATAGAATTTACTTACATCCTCCAAGCATGAACGAGCTTCATGTTCCAAGTGCGCATTGAAAAAAGAGGAGAATCTTCGACACCATGAGAGCCCACGGCGTCTACACTGGACAAGAAACACCCTTTTCATTGAGCCCGCGAACCCTGACAAGCTTAATGATAGCAGTAATACCCAGCTCCCACCAAGGAACCGGACAGATTTACACGACAACACCGTCGCGCATATACACATTACTATCTCTATCTACAAAAGAAGCTATTTCCACGCTCCCAGCAAAACTAATCAAAACCACCTCGCTCACCAAACATTCATCACCGTCGCATCACCGTCATCATCATCACCTCTCACACCCCAAAAAGACATCTCACGCCTTACCGTTGATGACCCGCAACAGCTCCTCCCCCTTGGGCGCCCCCGTAGACAAATTCTCGTACCCGTCGTCCGTGACCAAAATGTCGTCCTCGATACGCACGCCGCCGACGCGGTAGTACCGCTCCAGCACCGCCTTGTTGATGAAGCGCGCGTGGCGCGGGTTGCTGAGGAAGTAGCCCTCAATGTACTCTCTGCAAAAGTAGCTATGTTTCGTATGACTGATTAGCAAGGTTCCCGACGTCTTCGGACCATACCTTATCCACAACTCTGGGTAGGCTGAGTTATTTTCGATCCAGGGGTGGGGAGACACTCACATCCCAGGCTCCACCGTTACAATCATGTTCTTGCGCAGGTACTGCCGTCCCCGGTACGGCGGCGGCACCGAAGCAGCAGCAGCAGCACCGCCAACACCGGCACCGACGCCCGCCTGCGCCATGGCACTCATCATCTCGGGCGTGATGACCTCCCTCCCGACCCGCCCGCCCGTCCCCTTGTTCAGCAGCAGCAGCCTCTCGCGCCCAGAGACGTCGTGCACCTCCAGCCCGACGTGGTGTCCCAGCCCGTGCGGGAAGAAGGCCGCGACGGTGCCCGCATCCCACACCTCGGTCGGGTCTCCTCGGAGGACGCCCAGCTTCAGCAGGCCTTCCTGCGCGACCCGGCTCGCGTGGACGTGCAGGTCGAAAAACAGCGTGCCGGGACGGATGCGCGCGATGCACTCGTCCTGCATCCTCGCCACGACGTCGTACACGGCCCGGCTCTCGGTCGAGAAGCGGCCGGAGATGGGCAGCGTGCGGGTGATGTCGCTCGCGTAGCAGTGCCACTCGCAGCCGGCGTCGAACACGACGACCTCGCGGCCCTCGAGCGGCTCGTCGTTGGCGTCGTAGTGCAGCGTGCTCGCGTTCTTGCCGCTGCCGGCAATGATGGCGTACGACTGCTCCCGGGCGCCCTCGGTGGTGCACCACGCCTGGAAAATGGCCTCAATCTCGCTCTCGTTGCCCAGCTTCAGCAGCCTCTCGGCGACTTTGCGGTGGGCCGCTGCCGACACGGCCGCGGCTTTGCGGATCATGGCGACCTCGTACTCCGTCTTGACGACGCGGGCCTGGTCCGCAGCCGGCTGCAGCGAGGTGGTGTCGACGCGCACCTCGGCGGCCGTCTGGAGCAGGTCGCCGTGCAGCAGCGGCGGCACCTGGTCGGCGTGGAGGACGAAGAGCGTCGAACCGGGCGTCAGGTGGCGGTACAGAAACTTGTTGAGCTGCGTCGTGTAGCGCACGTCGTCGACGTCGAGCTGCTTGAGGCATTCCGAAATACCCGGTGTCGAGCCGAACCAGAGGACCTGGCGCGGCTCGACATAGGGGATCCAAAGAATCAGGCGGTCCGACGCCAGCTCGTAGGTCACGGCGCAGTCGGCAAAGTTGGCGCCGCTCAGGTAGTAGAAGCTATTCGCGTGTCAGTACCTGGACCAGATCTTCAGGGGGTAGACTGCCGTGGGGAGAGACATACTATCGCCGCTGGCGAAAGGTCGGACCCATGTCCGAGTCCTCATAGCTGCGGCTCGGTTCACCGGGCAGGAAAACGAGGCCATCGCTGGCGTTGAGCTCCGCGGCGACCTTGCGGGCGTGAAGTTTAGCTTTAACACAAGGTCAGCATCCCCCCATGGACAAGACGGACACCACGCCCACGACAGTCGCAGACCGGGTACAATAGATGACTAGACGCCATACGAGGCGACGCCATCCAGGTCTTGTCAAGGTCCCAGCGACGCTTGTCACCGTGACCTGACAGAACAGTGCGTGAATGGTAGCAGGGCGCGGGAAGCGTACCGGGAAACTTGGTCGGTATAGGCGCAACCGACACAACCGACTCAACCGGCTCAGCCGACGTCTTGACCTCAATGGACCTTTATTGGCGGCGAAACGCCGGTCAGCCAAAAGCGAACAATGGGAGACCAAGATAGAATACGGGGGCCCAAGGAAGAGGAAAGAAGGACGCTGACGCGCAATGCGACTCCACCTACAGAGCATCAAACTCATCCACCACAACTACATCGTGATCAATGGCGCTCTCCATGGCTCGGTCACGGTGAGGGGTGTGTGATTGTGTGTGTGGGCGGTAGGTATTATTGTCCGAACCTGTCAATAATCGAGGGAGAGGGGCGAGGGGGGGAGCGGTCTGACGTTGCCTCGCAGAATAGTCTTGTTGTTTCTCTTGTCGATTTGGGGATCTTGAACAAGCAAACCCGGGTGTACCTTCTGAACGCAGGGTAAAGTGTAAGGTACTCCGTACAGACAGTAGCGTTGATGGTATGTCGTCTGCGGCTAAGAAACGCACGGATTACGAGACACGCCAATTGGAGAACTGTGGCTCGAAATGGGGGTGGCGCTTGCGTGGCGTGGCGGGTTCTACTACACTTGTTAGTGACAAGGCACCGTAGGCCAAGACTTCTTTTTCGATCCAGAGAGATGGGGCCAGCGGTTCACGGGTACCTTGACAACTGGGGAGGTTGGTTCCCCGAATGCGCGAAATGCAAATGTTTGTTTGGTTGTAAACGGGGGTGTGCTTCTGCAAAGGCAGGCGAGAGGTGAGAGAGAGACTGAGAGAGAGAGGTTCCAACGTCCGGTGGCCGGGCTTTCGTCTGTCTAGCGCAAAGAGGCTCCGCTTGCTTCGGTGCCTCCGAAGGATGCCATGACAGCTTATGGGTCACCGCAGGGCGACCACAAGTTACTGGATCTATCGGGTAAAGAGAGAGGGGGAACCTGACAAACGGTTTTCTCATGATAGGGCGGGCGCGAGCTAGCTAGCTACTACCTTACTCCGTACTAGTCCCGCGTTTCCCCTTCGCTGCGCGAGTCTTGGGAATGGAGAAAGTCTACCTAGTACCTCCAGGTACGCCCGACTATTCTCGTACCGTGTACGGCTAAAAGCCCCCCTTCGGTGCCGAAACGGCGTATCGTGGAAGGGTAGGTGAGAGGCAAAAGACCCAGCGGTTCCTGCGCCCCGCAGTGAGACTGTGATAAGGATTTAGCGGAGATATCCCGTCTTTGGACCACGCTCACCTCACGATCCTAAGCCCTGTTTGCTTCGCTACCTTACGACCTTATACTAGCGTCCCGTCGGCCTCCAATGTGGTCCGTGGAGAAGGAAACTGGTGGTGCTTTTTTTTTTGTTCCTGATGGAAGTACATCCATCTACGGTCTACCTATGAATAGAGGCATCATAAAAGGACTTACACAAAAAAAGCCGCGATCCAGTTACCTCGCAGACAAGTCCTTATTCGGCTTGGTTCGTTCCTGCTGACGGCCCCCATTAGCATCGGTCCCCCGAGCGGGCCCCTGGTAGACCCCAACGGTAAAATGTACTCCGTATGGGTACCCACCAAACGGTCCCCTTCACGATCCCTACCTCAGTCTAAGGTACCGTGCCAGTCGGGATTATACTGTACATGCCCACCTCACCGTCATCGACAAACATGCTTCACTTCCTACGGAGAGAATACCACGAAATATCCAGCACCATACCTTTCCATCAATCAATTCCAGAGCCCTTTCGTACACCCGTACACCTCATGCAATCAATTGGGACCTTGGACATTGAGCTCGTTCCAAAGCAATAGGTAAACGGGGGTAGGTAGGGAGGAAGTGTCTCTCGCATCAGCCCCGTCCTCCAACCGGAACAAGGTGGAGGAGGGGTACCTACTCTCACATTTGTGCAGAGAGAACAATCGTCACCCTTTCACGTCCAGGAATAATACCTAGGGACCTAGCCTTACCTCAGGTCCATGAGGTAGCTTGGCACAATGGGGAGAGCTTACGCCGCGACGCCCCCGCACCGCCGTCCATCGCGCCACGCCTTACGGGATACGGATACTATTCGGCCTGCAAGCCTGCTGCGATGCAGATGCTGATGCGCCTGCAATGCCCTGCACTCCATTCGATGGCGGCTTCGCGGCTGCACCCTCACTCTCGCCCCCCTCGGGGGCCGTTTGTGTCGCAAGTGGGTTGGTCGTCCCGTCCCTGGGCTTGGGGGCGTGTGTCGCACTTTTGTCACTCGTTTATCCCGTACCCCACACATTGTCACCACATCTGCAACCCCGTCTTGGTAATTCCATGTCCCATTGTAACGTATGCTAGCTGTAATGACAACTACATACAACTGCTGTGTGTGAGTGTGTGTGTGCCTACACGCTCTCTGCGTGTATGCCTCCGGGGGCCGTCTCTTTGACCACCCTGAATCCCATAATCCAGGCTCGTGTGAGCCTCTTCACCAATCCAGACATCCCTTGGTGATGATGCCATGCAAACTTGATCAAATCCATATCAAGTATGACCGGAACGCCTAGATCGATACGGCCGTGTCTCCTTTTCCTCTGGTTCAAAAATCCTCTCTGTAAAAAGTCCCCGCCCAAAATAGATCGCACCCTGAACTAGCAGGGCTCCAAATAAATGCTGGGTATCACTAGAAGCGAAATGGTTGCCTATAGGCCCTGATATCCGTTCCTGCCGAGCATGCCTGCCCAGTTGTTTTGGTAGCCAGTTTCTGCGAGCATTCTCTCGATTTCCGCGGGCCGCTGCTGCATGTGCGCTCGTCGTGCCTGTTCGATCCGAGCCGCGTCCGGCATGCCAGAGTAGCCCGAGTGCTGCTGGTACATGCTCGATAGGTCGTAGCTAGACTGGTGGTGTGAATGTTGCTGCTGCTGGCTCTGTCCTTGCAGATAGTACGCGGGAGACTGGCCGAGGAGCTGGGTGTCAATGTCGTCGAATGCGCCGGGCATCATAAACGTCTCCTGCGGGCCGCTGACGTTATTCGCCCCGGGCTTCTGGTATCCCAGTTCCATCATCGGTTGGTTGGGGTAGGCGAACGGATCCTCTGACGGGAACATGAGCGAGTCGAGTTTGCTGATGTGGTTCATGTTGTGCGGCGGCGGGAATCCTTGTGGCGGGCGCTGCGTTGAGCTGGCCGACGTGCTCACCGAGTCCGGCGTCGCCCGTGACGACATGTCCATCCCGAGGAGGTCTTGGATGTTGCTCGCCAGGGACGGGTCCTGGTATCCTGCCTCGGAGATGGGCACACCGTCAAAAGACGCACGAAGCGGTACCTGCGCCATCCTTCCGTGCGCCATCACCACGCTCGGCGGTCGACTTAGTTCCTCGGAGCGGCGCTGGCCCATACCCGGCTGCAGGGCCGGGTGCCCGTGAACCGGCATCGAGCTGGCCTTTTGCCCAGGTGCCGAACGCTTCTTGGTAGGGATTGGCCGGCTCTTGGCCTCCTGGAGTCTCTCCGGTAATTGTTCAAACAGAACCTACCCCAGTTAGTATGCGCGCCAGCTAGTGCCTTGGAGAGAGACTTACATTGAGGGCCTCTGTGACCCTGTCGGCGGCCTGGCTCTTGGACTGCAGCTTCGAGACCATGTCTCTGCCTGCAATGGCATCTTCCAGTACCTCTGCCGATCCAATCTTTTCTGGGTTCTCAATCGAGTAAAAGACGAGGGAGAGGATGGCGAAGAATTCGGTAAACAGCATAAACCAATACGGGCCGGCCAGCACGTTTTGCTTGCGGATCTCAATGCCAATGTGGACAATGTTGCGCGACACGCTGATGCAGGCTGCGGCGCAGGCGTACGAGAGCTCGTCAATGTTCTTGCCCATGCTGAGGCGAGGGGAGACGTAGTGCAGAAACGGGCGGTAGAGGACCAGTTGGACGTGTGCGTAGGCGAACCGCAGCAAATGGCGCACCCTAGACATGTTAGTTAGCTTTAATCAATTGTAGCATGGTGTCAGGAAACCCACCGAATAACCTCCACGGGGCCGTCTGGTCTCGGCCTCCACTGCGCAGGCAGGACCTCGTACCACTCTTGCAACTCAGCCTCGATCCTCTTAATGTTGGCGTAGCTGATGAGGTACGTCGCTCCCGGCTTGTCACCCTTCATTACGCTCTGGCCGAGCCCCTTCAAGGGGTAGACGAACTTGAGAATCTTGGCCAAGATCTCCATCAGGCGGGTGTGGGCGTTGAAAGCCTCAAAAAAGGAGAAGGTGCCCGGCGGTGGCGTCAGGATGCCGTCGTTTGTTATGTACTCGTCGTCAATCTCGCTGGGGTACGGCTGGTCAATGTCGTCGGCGTTGAGCATGAGCGGGAACCCGAGCATGGCCGAGACGTAGATATCCATTTGCCGAATGACCCAGAATACCCGCTTCCGCACCTCCTGCTCAATGATGGAAATCTTCTCGTGCTTCAAGTACCTGTGCAGACCTATGCGCAGGGCCGACCGAAGGGCGATTCCAACAAACGCGTAGCAGCCGCTCAGGTTCGAGGTGGCTTGCAGGAAAAGAATCATAAAGAGCAGGGCTTGCAGTGAGGTGAGGTCTCGGCACTCTGTAATGTCTTGCAAGATGCGCCTTGCGGTATCGTAATACTTCATTCTGCGGCTTGTTAGTACGGTCCGGGACAGGCTTCCGGGGTTCATACCCTTCGTCGACGGACTCCTTGTAGGCCACGGGGGGCGCATTCTCGTCCAGGTTTCTGTACATGCAGCCGAGGGCCATGACGGCGTAGAGGAGACCCAGGAACTTGTGTTCCTCCTTGGTGTAGTCGTCGTATGGCTTCTCGTAGATTCGGTCAAACATTTGGTAAAAGGTCGGGACGTGGACGATGCGGATCAGACACGTCGCGCAGTTGAGCGACAGGTAGCAGAGGCTCTTGGCCACGTCTTTCGGGGGAAGCTCCGGAGCGGTGGACATTGTCGAGTCGAACGGGGAGCTGGCTGCGGATGCTGGCGAGTCCAGGTTGATGAGGCCCGCAGGTCTGTCTGGCCGTGGGAGGAAGGGCACCTTTGTGACGGGGCCCATCATGCCTCGGAAGTGCTCCTTCATGCGCCGCAAGAAGACGGCACCGGACGAGACGCCGTGAAAGTCCCAGCCGCCCTTGTCGTCGAGGTCCAGCTGGCCAATGGACTCGATCATGGACAGAAGCTGGGGGTCCTCCTTCTCGGGAGCTACAAAGGGATCGTGCCTGAGCTTGGCACTCTGGATCCTGCTGTGCTCTCTGTTGCGGAACTCTTGCTGGACGGCCGGATCCAGTGTCGGGTCAGCCAAGTCGACGTCTGGGATAAACTTGCGCAAAAGAGTCTCTGCGCGCTGCAGGCGGCTCTCCAATGCCTCAATGTACTGAGGCGCAGGGTTCCTCCGCCGATTGGAGGGCTTGTCATAAGTGCATTCTGCGGATATTAGTCTTTTGCACCGAGATAACGACACCGGAAAAGGAGGCTCACCGTAGCTATAAACTGAGCAATGGGTGCAAGGCTGCTTTCCATCGCACTTGATTTTCTTGCGCCTGCACTCGTCGCAGGCTCTGGTGACACGACGACGCTTCTGCACAGGGGCGTTGGATCCAGCTTCGCCGGGCTTTTCGTCCATGTCTGAGCCAGAATGGGCACTTCCACTTGGAGAAGGCGGCTCCTTGACTGGCCAGCCATTGGCAGAAGGGGCTGCGGACTCGTTGTCTGACATGTTGCCAGAAGCGTGGGAGTCTGGAGGTGAGTTGTTGCTGTTGTTGTTGGTTGCGGCCTTGGCAGGCTGAGATGGAGGGCTCATTTTGGCAGTCGACAAAACAGGTCGCCCGTTGGAGCTGTCCTGGGGTAAGCTTCAGGAAGCTGACAATAGTTGCTCCAAGGTAGATGTTGGTGTTGGTTGTGGTTGTGATGGTGGTGGTGAGCACCCGGTTCTCG